CAACAATGGTGGTGGTGGTGGTGATTGTGTTACTATTCTTGGCAGTAGAATTTAATTGAAATCTAGTTAGAGATAGATATGATGATCGGTGTATTTTGAGAAAAAAGTAAAATGACATGGATGATCGGATCTATATCTTGGCATGGCAACATCACAGATTGTATAGTAAAGAGGAAATTGACATTCTCTTACTTTGCAACTGTATGTGTTTGCAACAATGGCGGATCCACCATCTTCTTTGTCTGCATTCCCTAATTGCAGGTCTGAGCAGGTGGCGGTGGAGATCTTTCCGGTGCAGGTTTGAACCTTTGATGGAGTAAGGTTGTGCATGTGCTAGAATGGAGGCGGACACAACTAAAGTTAAGGTTTTGGTGGTGGTGCTCCATTAGAAAATGGTACTCCAGTGGTGATGTTGGGAAGATGTCGTCTAGGAGAGAGAGAGAGAGAGAGAGGGTAGGGCCCGCTTTTTTAATTTTGAATTAACAAAATATTAAAAATAAATAAATAAATAAAAACAAAGGGCATTTTTGTCTTTTTACACACACTTAACAGAATATGTTAACAAAATTAGTCATAAGAATCATTTGTATGAAAGGTTTGCTCCGTAAGTACCATTTGAAGGAAAAAAGTTTCATAAGAACTACTTTAGAAAAAATTACAAAACCTTAAGGACCATTCGTGTAATTTGTTCAAACTTTTTTTTTTCTTACAACCATATCAGTCCTGTTAAACAAAGTTCTGAAAATGAAATCCAAAACACCTTTCACCATAACTCAATAACCCCCCAAAAAAAAACAACAATCAGAGAGAGAGAGAGAAATGGAGAAGACGCTAGAACTTCGATCACTTGGAAACACAGGCCTCAAGCTCAGCTGTGTCGGATTCGGAGCATCCCCTCTCGGCAGCGTCTTCGGCCCTGTCTCCGATGAAGAAGCCATCGCCACCGTTCGTGAAGCATTTCGACTTGGCATTAACTTCTTCGACACCTCCCCGTTAGTAATTTTCACTCAATCTCTTGTAATTTACGTACCTCACTATTACGCCACTAAGTTTTTCTTCTTCGTTCCAAATTTGTGAGGAACACTCAAGACATATAATGCAATTTCAAAACCCTAAAGTTCCTATTCTGATTATCCTCCTCCATCAAATCATTTATTTAGAGTTAGCTTCACAACACCTCTGTCGAATAATGATTTTAATCTGAAAACTTTTTTCTTTAACAGTAATGAGTTAATCTAAAGTATTCCTTCAATCTCCATGGCGCATAACGTGATCTTATCTAGTTTATTAGCGATCAAGCCTTCAAGCATCATTATTGACTGTATTTCGATCAACTACAAGCAGAAAGTTACCAAAAATTTCTCACAAACTATCACATTTTTCGGATCTGGAAATTGATCTTCCTTGTGTTTGTTCTATAGGTATTACGGAGGAACATTATCTGAGAAAGTCCTTGGAAAGTCGTTGAAAGCTGTTGGAGTTCCCAGAGATCAATTCATCGTATCAACAAAGTGCGGGAGGTATAAAGATGGTTTCGATTTCAGTGCCACTAGGGTTACCCAAAGCATAGACGAAAGCTTAGAACGTCTACAGCTCGATTATGTCGACATATTACAGTGTCACGACATTGAATTCGGCTCACTCGATCAGGTACTCAAATCAATCATATGAACTCTTCGATTTCCTTCATCAACATCAATCACTCATCAATCCATCTATATTCTATCATATCAATCATCATTCCCAGATCATAAACGAGACAATTCCCGCACTCCAGAAGTTAAAAGAAAAAGGGAAGATCCGATTCATTGGTATAACAGGACTTCCATTAGGAATCTTCAATTATGTTCTTGATCGAGTACCATTAGGCACCATTGATGTAATCCTTTCATATTGTCATTATGGAATCAACGATACAACATTGGAGGATCTACTTCCATATCTGAAAAGCAAGGGAGTTGGTGTGATCAGTGCTTCACCTTTATCAATGGGACTTCTTACAGAAAATGGCCCTCCAGATTGGCATCCAGCTTCATCTGAACTCAAGGTATTCTTTGAATCTTTGATTCTTTTATCAAATTGGTTCTTATTTTTCAAATCTCTGTGTTTGATTTCAGGCTGAATGCCGTAAAGCTGCTGATTTTTGTAAAGGGAAAGGGAAGGATATATCGAAAGTGGCTATGAAATACAGTTTGTGTAACAAAGATTTTTCTTCAATACTAGTGGGGATGAAATCTGTTCAACAGGTTTGATATGATTTTAGGATTAATGGTGTAAAATTTTAGGTAATAAGTTGTGTTTCTGATTGTTGATTTTTGTAATAACAGGTGCAGGATAATGTTGCAGCAGCTATGGAAGTTATGAAGGGTGAGAAAGATGAGGAAATTTTAGTTGAGATTGAAGAGATATTGAAACCAGTGAAGAATCAGACATGGCCTAGTGGTATTCAATGAATTTAAGTTTTGTTACTTTTTTTTTTAAATGTAAATTTGTGTGATGGTTGTTGATGGCTTTATATCTTTAAAAGAAAGTCTATCTTCATTCATTGTTATGTAATGCTAAATTATCCAAATAAAATATGGACCTAATTTCCTATAAAAGTATCAAGAAGCTATTTGCTACTTAATTACAATGACAATTATAGATCAAAATGCTGATTAAGTGGAATCCAACTTTGATATGATTTTTGAATTGACAAACACAACAAATTTGATTTTAGAAATTAGAAGTGATGCAATACAGCTATACAACTAATGAATGCCATTTTACGATTTCTATCATAATTTTTTACAAAACAATGGTTGAAACATGAAAGAATTGATCATATTCAGAGAAAACCAACCATCGGTTCAAAATCAGAAATTCCATATATGGTTGTAAAAAGTCCATAAAATAAGAAGGAAAAACACATAACGAGTCATCTACTTCAGTCGCTAACAAAATTGCTCCATTAATTGTTGGTAGATGAAACAAACAAAAACAAAATCTCCATGGATGCTTTTATTACACTAAAAAAACAAAAAACAAGACTACTGCAAATATTTGTTATATCTAACTAGCTTCATTTTCTAACATGCTAAGATACCATTGTTAGAACTTAGAATAGAATACCCATTGCCATTGGTGATTTGATCGTCTTCTTCATTTGCAGTTGCATGACTCACATGTGCATGGACTGCACTTGCATCCTCCATTCTCGCCGGCAGCCTCTGCACCTCCGGCCATACGCCCACTGCAACACAACCCATAAACTCGTCATTAATCACCACCAAATTTCATTTCGATTTAGCGATTTTTGACTTGCAATTGCCAATGGAAACCCACGAAATTGAAGGGGGGGAGAAAAAAGAAGAGGAGATCAGATTACGTACGTGTTGTTGGGTGTAACACCGAGAATAAGCGTCTCAGTGGTGGTATTCTCGCCGGAGATCGTGTCTGGGTACATCTTGCACCTGCAACCAAACATCAAAATCAAAATCAAACATTAGGAAATCTAGAATGAGAATTCCAAGGGAAAAAAATTAAGATCACAATCGATTTCGATTGATATTCATATTCAATTGAACAGAAAAAGGGGGAAATAGATCAAATCAAATCAAACTGTCAAATAATGAATATCAATGAAAATTTACCCGCCACAGCTGCTTCCACACTTGCAACCAGAACCACAGCCACATTTACCAGCACAGCAAGACGACGACATTGTTGATTCAAAAATCGAATCGAGTAGAAGATTTGGTTATGGAATGTATCAAAGCAAAGCAGTCTCTGTTGAACGAGTAGTTTGGAGGTTATTTTGATCACTGCTATTTATGCGCAGCAGCAAGAGGGAGCAGTGTGTAACAGTTATTGATCTTCACCCTCCACGTATCACGAAATCTTCATGCACACCTATTTCACCGGTAATGGCGGTGATAGGTGTTGATGATCCGGTTTTATATGCGGGCCCGGATCTTAACACGTTTCTCGTATTTGATTACCCGGTTATTCATTTGAAGCAATCCATGTTCAATATTAAAGTGATGGGTAAATTAATAAATGATTATATTGACTTTTTAGGATTAAACTCGATTTTTTTTTTTCTTTCTAAGTGGTCTTTATGTGTTTTTTTTGGTCCTTTTAACATGTTTATCATGACTTTATTGATTTACATAATAAAATAAAATAAAACCTTAATATTTTTTTTTCTTTCGAAAAACTGTATTTCTTTTAAAACCTTCACGTTTTGCTAACTTTTTTATTTGAACGAACTCTTTTTTGTTTTAATTCATAATTTCTATGTTTTTATATGTTGTTATTTATAGTGTTTTTGATAGCTTTCAACAATAAAATCTGACATTGACAAGTGATTTAAAAAAAAATGATATGGTGTCCAATTTTGTTGGCAGAATATATACCAAAATCCATTTAAAAGATATTCGATGATTGTTAGTTACATGTGAAGAACAATGATTTAAGTTGAGTTGATATCTTAGATCGTTTTGAGTTTGGAAGTTGTTTTGAGTTTGGAAGTTGTGTTTCTGTTTGATTCTTAAAACAAGTTAAGATGTCAAACCAGATTATTATGGATCAAATTACTTTTAATGTTGAAAATGTTTATAATAGAGAAGAAAACATGAAATATGGAATTAAATTTCAAAGTATAGATTGAAGTTTGGAATCTTATATTGTTTTTCGAATCAAACATAATGATAATTTCCAAAACTCCAATCTATCTTGGGATCTTATTTCAACTTCATTGTTTATATGTTAGAAAGTTTTTCAATCTTAGGTTGAGGTGCTTCAAACAGCGTAACAACAAACCAAAACCACTTTGTCCAACCAATGATAAATCATGGAAAAATATATACCAAGTATATATACGTAACATACTCACAGTTAAATAATTAAACGTAACCTTAATTTAGATAAAGATATTGTTTTTATCGTAAGAAATTGTGTTGGAATCTTTCCATAAAAACAAAATAAGTAAAGTAAAAAAGAATACGCCACTTGTGATTCAGCAAATATCTTATTGTAAGAAAATGGAGTGCTGAATCAACATACTGTCAGTATCTACTACATAATCAAGTGGCTTGTAACGCCTCACGCTTCACTCTCGTCTCTTCACTGTAATCGGAACCCGAAACCTCCTTCTCTACCCATCCATCAATGGCTGCCACTAGACTCATGGTGTCAACAACCAACATCGGGACATCATCTTCACTACTCTTCAAAGCCGCCGCCTCACCATTCTTCAAACCACGCCATTTCAGCCTGTGCTTCAATAACACCTCAAAGTTAGTTTCGAAGAAGAGGAGTTTCACTTGTTCGGCTCTTTACAGGCCTGATTTCCAGATCAAGGAGGAAGGAACGCCCGAAACCCTAGATTACAGAGTTTTCTTCGTCGATAATTCCGGCAAAAAGGTCAACATTCATCTCTCTTTCCGATTTTTGTGTTTTCGATGATTAACGTTCTAGGGTTTCGATTATCTTATTCGATTTCGATACATTGCTTTAGATGTATGAAAAATGTATGATTGGTGATGATATTAGGGTCGAATGTGTATGCAGTATGGTAATTATTGATTTAGGGTTTAATTGTGAATACGTGTTGATGGAATCATGGAATTGGGATATAATAATGTGATTTATTGTTTCAGATTTCACCATGGCATGATATACCATTGCATGTTGGTGATGGAACATTCAATTTTATTGTTGAAATTCCAAAAGAATCAAGTGCAAAAATGGAGGTTGCTACTGATGAAATCTTCACACCCATTAAGCAAGATACAAAAAAAGGGAAACTTAGATACTACCCGTAAGTGGTTTTGCTTTTTCTATTAAGCTGTTCTTTTTGTATTAAGTCAAAAAGAAACACTCATATAATATACCTTTGATTCTCAGGTACAATATTAACTGGAATTATGGATTGCTTCCACAAACATGGGAAGATCCATCATTTGCAAATCCTGATGTTGATGGAGCATTTGGAGACAATGATCCAGGTAACTTTAAGAATCCCATTTTTACCAATTTTTTATTAAATGATTGTGTATGTATGAACTATGAAAGATTTTGTTAACTTCAATCTAATACGCCAAATTCTTTTAATTTTGATATTGTAGTTGATGTGGTTGAAATTGGTCAAAGTCGTGGGAACATTGGTCAACTTATGAAAGTCAAACCTTTAGGTTGTCTAGCTATGATTGATGAAGGAGAACTCGATTGGAAAATTGTTGCAATTTCATTGGATGATCCAAAAGCTTCACTTGTTAATGACATTGATGATGTCGAGAAGCATTTTCCGGTATTAACCCTCTTTGACTTTGACTCAACTCTCAATCTCTTGTATGTGCAAAAGACAAAAATGCCCTCATTCTTTATCGTCGAAATTAGCCCTAATTAATGACTTTTGTTTAGGGCACACTTACTGCAATTAGAGATTGGTTTAGAGACTACAAGATTCCTGATGGGAAGCCTGCCAACAACTTTGGTCTTGGCAACAAAGCAGCTAATAAGGTAATAAAGTAATAAACTTGAACATTCTTTAGGGGTATTTAAGTAATTTTAATAATTTATGAAATTAATCAAACAGGCATACGCACTGAAAGTGATCACGGAGACAAATGAGTCATGGGCTAACCTAGTCAAAAGATCAACTCCAGCTGGGGAGCTTTCGCTTGTGTAGTATTAAATGCAAAATTTCTAAAGATTTTCAAGTTAGAATGAGACATTTTAAGCAAAATTTTTTCATAAATCAAAGATTTCATTTGGTATGAAATGAAATTCAAGAACTACTTTTGCATATTTCATACATGACAACTTAAGAACTCTCGATGTCTTATTTGGCACCTTTTTTTTCCCCTTCAAAATTGCTCGACTTGAAAATTATGATCCGGATTCGGTTATTTCGCCTTGGAAAAATGTTGACTGGTCAAAATCGATGATGTGGCATTATGATGGAAATTATTTTAAAAAATCAACATTCGTTTAGGTCGTCTAATCATCGAATGGATTTGTCTTGTTTGACTTTTTTGGATTTTCAATATCTTCATCATCTTTATCAACAAATGGAATAAAAATACCTGCATAAACAAAATAAATAAATAAATAAAAAGTGGAATTTAATCATGGGTTTAGGGTATGTTTGACAAAAATAGTTTGGGAAAAGTACCTATACACCATATTCCAGCTGCTAAAAACAATACGGTTGTCAAGATTAATGTGGATGTTCTCCAGTTTCCAATATGGTCCTGTTAATTATGAAAAAAATATATATATATATACAACTACTAAACTTATTTATTTATTTTTTATATAAAATGTAGAAATACAAACCTGCATAACTCCAACAAGTGGAGAGGAAGGCACATCGCCAAAGATATGAATTGATACAGTAGATGCAGCCATAGCCAATGGTCTTAAGCTTGGTTTAACAGCATGAATAGAAACAAAGTTTACAGGACCCTGTAGTGTGGGGAAAAATATTTATTTATTTTTTAAAGAAAATAATGTTTGATCAGAGGAGATGATTTAAATAAAAAGGTTTATATACCTGAGTGGCAAAAATGAGCATTTCTCCAATAAGAAAGAAAACCATGAAGACGTACATGTTCTTGAAACAAAAGGCACTAAAGCAAAATATTGCCCCGAAAAACGTTACTGTTGAAAGAAGCTGTGGAGAGTGTATAAAGATGACATTTAATTAATAATTAATACAAAATCCATTAATTTGATTAAATTAATTATATATAAATGTTAGAATTGTGTGTACCTTAAAAGCATTAGGGATTGTGGAATCAAGTTTATCAAGGACAAAACCTCCCGTTAATGTCCCCACAATTCCACCCACAATCGTGATTCCTCCAAACATCATGTCAGCATTGCTCTACAAACGTTAATTAAGGCTTAATAAATACAAGAAATACCAACCTATTTTTATTTTGTATTTTTTATTATAGAGTTTCTTTTTATTACAACATTATATTTTGAAAATGTCACCGATTATCTTTCAAATACAAAGCAATTGTATTTCTCACGTACCATATGATATATGCTATAGCCAGCCTTTGGTCCCCAATATGAATAAGCACCAATCACAAAATTGTACGCAATATAACCTACAAAAAAAACCATTCAAAAGTAAACAATTAAGATACGCCACGTCATCATTTTTTTCCTTCAAGTTTCTTTTAAAAAAAAGGTACCTAAAACATTTACTATATATATTTTCTCATTCATAAGCTCTTTAATATCTTGGACAATGCTAGTAGTTTGAGCATCAGCCCTGCAACAACACAATAAGCATGTAATAATTTAAATATCATTTGTATTTCAAAAGCCATTTTTTTATTTTTATAAATAATAATATAATAGAAGAACAAACCCTAACTTGTCTTTTGAAGATCCTGCGGCATTTTTAGCATTCGTAATACCTGTGTAGAAACAAACCATGAGCCAAAAGGGTAGTTTCTAAGTTTCGTCATAAACATGGTAAATACTGATACAAACAGTGAAAGCAGATACTGGAAATAAAGCAGTATGCTAAAAATATACCTTTGAGATGCAAAGGTTTCATTACAAAACCCAAAATAACAAATGGCACCATCATAACTGCTTCACTTAAAAACGCGTATCGCCAACCATAACTACCTCCAACCTGAAAATATAAATAATATTTTTTTTAAATAAAAATTTAAAAAAAAAAAAAATTAAAAAACTAAAATAGAGAAAAAAACATCACTTGCCAGTCCACCATAAACATAACCAAGTGCAATTCCTGTTGGTATACACATGTAAAATATTCCTAGCCATGCTGATCTCTGTAATATTAATAAATTAAAATAATTAAAAAAATGATTATATTAAATTATTTATTATTATTATTTTATTTATTAATAAATGAAAATAGAAAGAATCCACAAGAAAACCTGTTTTGGTGGAGCATTTTCATCAATGAATGGAGCTGCAAGACTTATAAAAGAAGCTTCACCAACACCAACTAACCTGAATTTTTTTGAAAGATTTACATCATGTTGATGATGTGGCATATTTGATTGAAAAAAAAAAAAAAAAACTAAATTTTTATTTAGTATCTTACATTCGACAAACTGTAATTGACCAAAAACCAACTGAAATTCCACAACCAATTGCAGCAAAAGTCCAAATTAACAAACCAACTGCAACTAGCCTAAAGGGATTCATGCTGCATATTAAAAAAACACCAAAAATGTAATTCATCATGACAAAGAATAAATAAATACATAAATAAATAAATAAAACACCATCTTCATATTACCTCTTGGCCATGGATGCAAATATTGGAGATGCTATAAGAAGTCCAACCATGAAAGCAGAAGATAGAACACCATCTTCACCATTGGTTAAGTGAAACTCACCCCTGCAAAACACAGAAAAGTGAAAAGACGATAGTACCCTTAGGGTTTCAATTTCAAGGACAAGATAACAAGTATATATATTATATAATATGTTTCCATGAATTGAATCCAAAAGTAAGACTTACTGAAGTCCAGTACCACTTGAACATTCTCCAGAAGGTTTGCAAGTTTCTGGAACCCCGTTTACACCAGTACTCGCAATTACTCCTCGATCCAAATAAGTTATCAAGTTGATCACACAGAATAATCCAAGCAACCTGTTAATATACACAATCAATTACCCAATTTTATCAACGAAACTTCCCTATTGAATCCTGCGATTCATAAAATATATATACATAATCGCCTAAAATGAAACATTTAAATACTACGATCGAACCTCAATGAACACAAACGATACCAAAAATGTCAATCGATTTTAGATAGAAGAAGAAGAAGAGGGGAAGGGATTTAAGATCTGCGAATTCGCACATTTTGAAATAGGTTTAATTCTATTCTACAACAATCATAGATTCAATTAACGATGATTAGTGTTACCTCCAAGGGGTGAACCAAGAAGTATCAGCTGAATCGTTGTCAATTTCAATATCAATCGAATGTTTCTCGGATCCTTTCTCTACAGCACCCATGTCATGTAATGCCTGTGATTATCGAAGGTTTTCAGTGGAGTTTTGTTCTTGAAGAAGAAGAAGAAGAGACTGCAAAACTTTTTTGTTGTAAAAGAAGAAATCCATCTGATTGACATCCTTTTGTTATACTGCGAACAGGTGTCAAATTTTCATTTCAAGTTTGCTTAATTTCCTTACCCCTTTTTGTGTTATGATGTTCTTAGGTGGTGTTCCGTGAGTCTCTGAGTCTGGATTTATTTCTCTTACTTCCTATTTGGAAGTTTGGCATTTATTGCAATTTCTATCCTCAAGTTTCAATTCTGACAATTTACAACCAAACTAGATTTATGCTGGCAATGGGATAAATAGATGACTAGGTTCATTGAAAAGCAACATGAAACTTTGAAATCTTACGTAACCAAGAGTAACAAGTTATTACTTTTAGCCTTATATTTGTTTCTTTTTTCTTTTCACGTTAAGTACATATGTATAAAAGGGATCAATGGAAGTGAAAAACCATACATAAGATGTGTTTCTTTTTTAATAGATTTATAAATCGTATGAATGGTTGTTTGATAAAACCGAATCATTTACTGTTGAATGGTTAGTATACCTCTTGATAATTAAGAAAATTTGGGGTTCCTTAATTGTTTAGAGGTTATATCAAACTCGCTAAATACTAACCGATTATCAAACAACCAATGGCGGATCTAGAATTGAAAATCATATAGTTTTCTAATTAAGTGAAGTTGATAAAAATAAAAAAGACAACAATACTTGTGGCAGTTGGGGTCGTATACTTTGAAATATTTAAACAAATATCTAATAGTTATTTTAAAACTCTTCAAATTTTACCCACATATGTTTTATACCTTGAAATATTAGCACAACTGTATCATTACTAATAATTTCTAAAATAATTTTTTCAATATATATGACACTAAAAATTTATCATCCATTCTGTTGTGTGTTAGTGTTTATCAACTTTATTGCTGAAAATATACATTTCACACTAATGTTGCAATAGATATGATCAATGTAAGTTTCAAGATAAGATAAACCTTATGAAAGATTATATGATTCCTTTCTTCGATCATCTTTTTCTAATACTAATACTATAAGGTATGTGTTAATCTATAAAATTAAAAATCTAGGACCCACTCTGCCATTCTATAAAAAAAAATAATCTAGGACCCACCTTTCTATGTCTAAGATTCATCCTTCCAAACAGTCCCAATACTAAAGTCATTTTATCATTACGCTTCAAATACCAATTTAATAGTATTTGTCAACTTTAACATTTAAGAGTATTAATAAATATTAATGTGAGAGGGCTTAACCGATTAAACTCCTTAAGTCCAAAAGAAACATCCTCTTACTATTCATTCACATGGGAACCAAAATGCATACTAGTGTGATGTTCTTCAATAGTCCAATTGGCTGATGTACAGGGACTGTTTGTGATTAAAGTAAAATGGCAGGGACCAAATATCGATAACTAGAAAAAGCCATTTCCTTCTTAAACGGTGGGACCTCAAGAAAAAGCGCGCGAATTCTATTCATTAAATTGAGCCCACGCGCACATTCCACTCCATCTCCTATAGTCCTATCCAATCGCCGTCGCTCACTGTAGCTAAGGTTTTTCAGCATATTCAGCGTATTTTTTGATAATTCCTTCTTTTGTTAGCAGAATTTAATAAATATTTTCATAATCATGCAATCTTTTAGATAATTTATTGCTCCTTTAAGAATTATATCGTTATTTGGTTAATGCTTATATATCTACTCACATTTGACAATCATAAAATATTTTAGGAAAATTACAGTTGAAGCAAGAAATATTGAAAGTCGGTAAGTTAGATTTTAAAAAAAATGGTTAAATAAATATGGTTGAAGCAAGAAATGTTGAAAGTTTGATAAGTCAGATTTAAAAAATAAAATAAAATTGGTTAATAATTTTTTTTGAAACTTTATTCTTTTTGTTTTCTCATGCAAAACAGTAGACTACCTAAACAGAAAAATTATATAAATTGGCTACTTTTGGATACAATCAACCCAAAAAAAAGTAATCAAAAAACGTATCGCCAAAATCCAAGGTTAATTTTATTTTTTTAAACTTAGATGATTTTTATTTTCTGTTTTTTACTGCCACAAAATGTGAAAATAATAATAATAATAATAATAATAATAATAAAATAAAATAAAATAAAACCCTAACAAATTTTGTATGAGTTCATAAAAATAATAACTTTTTAAGATTGGTTGATATAACTAACCACATTTTATTTAGTGTTATAAATATGTATCAATCTTTTAAATGCATAATTTTTTTTTTTGAACGGAGAAAATATATTGAAAAGAAAACTAGTGAGACGCTAGCAAAAGTTACATATGAACGGAAGTTAAACTAGGACTACTACACCAATCAAACCAATTTAATGAGTGAAACTTAGATTTATAAATAAAATTCGCCACCTTCATGGGATTGCATCTAAAATCCCGAATGAACCACAAAAAAGAGCACTCCTAAACTTGACCTTAATTTTGTTCAACCCAAAAGCACCAATCTGCGACAGAAGGCTTAATAAATATAAAATAAAAAAACAGACCAAATTTTAAACCAGACCCAAATCTCATAAGCTAAACGACATCCAAAGAACAGGTATTCCACCCCCTCCCCAGCCCTCAGCGACTCCACAAAAGTAACAAAGAGATGATCTAATCACCATCCGTCTAGCAACGAGATTAATAGCCACCATAATCCTATTCTTCAACAATCTCCAAATAAAAAAAGTTGACTTTTAGGGGCATCCAATTCACCCATAAGAAATCGAAGACATCACTAACAACACCCACTTCCATCATTAAGGGTGCGTTTGGTTGTGGAAAAAATTTCAGTTTTCTAGGAAAATTTTCCAATAAAAATGGAAATTTTGAAAACCCGTTTGGTTCATTCAGCTTTCCAAAATTATCAAGAAAATGAAAATTTTCAGTTTTTCAAATTGTATATAAATTAGAAAAGTGATTTTTACAGTTTTTCAAAGTTCTAAGATGGAAAATGAAAACTCTCCCGGTATCAACCAAATGCGCTTTCTAAAATTTTCATTGGAAATTGAAAATGAAAACTCAACTCTATTTTCTGAAAACATTTTCTTAGATGCTCGGTTTATTGGTAAATGATATCGGCTTAACGTAAAGATTTTAATAGTTTTCATGCAATATCAGGTTTGCAAATTCCTCTTCATAAATCAATAAAAATGAAATTGAGATGGATTATTCAGTGGTGCAAAACACAGCTAATGTTGCGGGTTGTGCAGTTGATCAATTCCTTTTTTTGTACTTAGGGGTTCTGATAGGAGTTAGTATGGCTTGTCTTTCTAGCTTGAATCCGATTTTGTCAAAGTTTAAGGAGAAATTGAATGGATGGCAAGTAAAAATGATGTCTATTGGTGGAAGATTTTCTTTGATCAATATTTGGAGCTTTGGGAATATATTATCTTGCTTTGTTTAAAATGCTTTGTAAGGTTGGTAAAATTTTGGAAGTAGCTAGGGTAAATTTCTTTTGGGGAGGAGAACTGGATTAGAAAAAAATGGCTTTAGTTAAATGGTCATATGTTCTCGCTTCTAAATAAAGGGGAGTACTTGGTATTTGAGAAGTTGATTCAATCCATACATGATAGAATTGGTGATTTTGTGGATGATGGTCATAAATTCAAAAATGAAGGTGTTTTGGTCTTCTAGTGTTAAAACTCCATAAAAATCAAGTTGTTTCTTTGAATCTGATACGAAAGATGATTGGAGATGGGAGAGACACTAAGTTCCGGAGGGATATTTGGGTGGGAAACTGTACGTTGGAGCTTTTTATTTTGTTTTCCTATAATTGTTCTCTTGGACACAAATATTAATTGTTTTGCTGCAAAGAGGTCAGAAAATGCTTGGAAGTGGGATTGATGTATCGAACCTCGAAGTGGTGCTTAGGATTTGCAATTTCAAAACTAATTTTTTTTTTGTTAGAGGTTAATTTCTCTAATAGATCATACTATTGGAGTTGAGATCTTAATAATGGGATGGAGTTTGTTGTTAAGGATGTCCGTTTCTGTATTGATGAGATCGGTTTAGTTTCAGTTAGCCCTAAAACGAAATGGAATAAAATTCTTCTTAAAAATGTGAACCTTTTCGATGAAGAGCCTCTTTGGATCATTTACCCACGAAAGATAATTTCCTAAAACGTGGCATTCACATTCCTTGTGCTTTATGCCGAATTTGCAACAATGTTTTTGAAGATACTCATCATGTTCTGATTGATTATTGGCTTCTCAAAAGTCAAATCTCTTACAAAGTTGGTAGATTGTGTGTAGTTGATTTGACGAATATATTATGTGTGGGTGACTTAGCTACATTTTTGGAGTCATTGCATTTATCTTCACATAATTACTTAGGGGTTGTTTGGTTTGCTGGAATCTGTTGGAATCGGAAGGAATTGGAATTTAATTCCATTGCTTTTCTATGTTTGGTTCAAGTTTTCAGAAGGAATTGGATTCCTAAATATGTCCAACTTTCCTTCCATTGAGGGAAAATAAATTTCATCTAAAAAATAAGAAAATTCAAATTCCTTCAAATGAGAGTGTTGAATATTACCATATTACACTTTTCATTTTTAACATTAAATATGAAAAAACACTGTCACTACTCGCGACCACCTCCACCACAACCTTCGCCACCACTACCCACCACCACCACCTCCGCCACCCACCCACCGACCCACCACCACCAACCATCCTCACTAATGACGACGCCACTGCCACCACCTTCTACACCACCACCCACCGCTTCTGTTACCATCATCACCATCGTTCAACCATTACTATCACCACCATCACCACCACCACCACCACTATCCATAACCTCCGTTACCACCTACACCAAAACCCTACCACTACCGTAGTTACTACTAACTCTATCGTCACCACCATCACCTTTATTGCCACCACCACCACCACCGTTGCCGCCACCTGCACCCA